AAGTTTTTCGAGTCGTCCTCTCCCAACCCGTTTTGCGAGCTGGTCGAAGTCGAGCCGAATTGACCGGCTATATAGCCGTTTCAAAAAATTTGATATTTTGGCTGCTGTGCTGGAATCGCTGCGAGAAAGGGAGAGCGGTCATTATCTCTTCTCGACTTTAGGATACCCGACTTTCTCGGTTACTTCTCTTGTCTCACTATTTGGGTCGAATTTTCCTAATTAACTTTTTTATTTATTCAAGATATGGCTGACAGTGCCGCCTTTATACATTTCGAATTTCAAATCCGCGCGTCACACCAACCGCTGACTCCTCGCATTCTGTGCCTTATCATGGTCGTTGGTTTTCCTTTAATCCTACGGCTGATATTCATCCTATCCTCTATAAATAAGATGGGGTTTCTTCCCCAAATTTTTTTTACGTCTCCTTATTTTCTTCCTCAACTCCGGCAAATCCAAGATCTCAGCTATCATTCCGGCGAGTTTTCTCCATCATTTGTAAGATCCTAATTACCTGTCAGATCGGCGATATGTGTAAGTATTTTCATTTTTTTCTTTCTTTCTCCTATTTTCTGGGTTTTTCGGCCCTCTGCGTCGCCGTGTTCTACGTGTTCTTCAAGAAATTCTTTGTTGTTGCTTTTTGCTCTCTTTTTTTTTTAGATGGTATGTTGGATCTTGTATGGACTATTCTTCAAGTAGTTAAACTGTTATTGTGCGACCTAGGCCATTGCGTATAACCCTTTATCGGCGTTTTATTATGTCGACTTTTACCGACATTCGCTCTTTCTCTTTGTGCTTTCCCTGAGTCGACTTTTTTTTTATACCTCTCCTAAGCCGACCCTTATCGCCATGTCTGATCTTTGCCTTTGTTTCTTTTTCTTTTAGCTTCCCACTCCGGTTCTTCGGCCGACACCCTCGACAGATTGATCGACAGGGGCCTTGACCAAGCCGACTCAAGCTCTGTTGAGATTACCGGCTGCAAGATGGTGAACGTTTCACCCCCTTCATCGGGTACTTCTACCCCGAAGGTCGACTGGGCCGAATATGACCAAGCTTTGTTGGACGGTGGTCTAGTTGAGGTCTCAATGAGTCCTCGAGGAAACTCTCCTCGTCTCGACTTGATTCCTCAAGGTATTCCCCTTAGGTTGTTAGATATCCCTGTGTATAGTACCAGTCCCGTACCTGTTTCTTTAGTTACACCTCTCGATCCTCGAAAGGTTGTTTCGGTCGCTTGTACTCTGGCCAAATTAGCCACTTTAAACCCCTTTTTTTACGCCTCTGCCGCTCGAGTCGAGAGCTTTAGGCAGTTTAGTGGTCTTCCCTCCGATTGGGAGTTAGTTACCCCGGGTCCCGACGGCAACTTCGCCTGTCCCCCCGAGGGTTGTTACACCTTCTTTGTTGACCAAGTTATCTTTGGCCTGCGTTTTCCCATTCAAGCCGAGCTTTTGGAGATTAGTGACTTGTATAAAATCCCAATAAATCAGTTTTCTCCCAACGCTTTCTGTATCATGATAGCCTTCATCGTTGTTTCCCGTATAGTTCTTCATTCTTTTTCAGCCGAGTTTTTTCATTATTGTTATAGTTATCGGCTTCAGAAAGGGGCCCATTGTTTGATCCGTCGCCCTGGTGTGACTTTTCTCGACGATCTCTCGTCCAATGTCCCCGAGTGGAAGTCGAAGTTTGTCTTTATTCGTCCTTCCGAGGGTGCTTATCCTTATACAAATAACTGGATAAGTACCAAAGTTAAACAGAATAAACGGTCTCGATCCGAGGACTTTGAAAGACTCTTAGCAGAGTTGAATAAATGTACTTATAGCGCTCGGCGCATAATAAAAGACCGTGGGTTGGTCAATCATGCCCGAATCGTCTTGTACGACGATCTTCCTCAGCTCGATGATCCCCGTAAGCTGTTCAGCATTTCTTACAATACCGAGTCGTCCCTTGTATTCTTCTAACCTTTGCTTTT